GTTTAGTTACGTACGTTAGTAGTAGGTGGTACGTACTACTACTAACTAGTAGTTAGTTAGTTAGTTCGTAGTAGTAGTACGTATTACTTAGTCGTACTACTACGTAGAGAGAGAGAGAGAGAGAGAGAGAGGAATTTTAGTTTCATTGATTTAACTTTGTGATTTTGCTCGAGATACTTTGTTCTTTACTACTTGTACTTTCTGGGTGGTAGAGTTTGGGTTGTTTATATTTGTTCTTGAAGCCATTTATGGTGTGAATTTCCAGGCACCTTTTTATGTTTCAATGAAAATATATGGTTAAATGTTAATGGAGAATGACTTACAAATAGATGGACACTCTATTAGGCGGCCCTGTTTGGCTGCACTGATATGCGCAACCACAGCATGGAGTACCCTAGTCCAGGAAAGAGGCAGACCTTCTGTTCAAAGGTTTGCCTTTATCTTGGTTATTTCTTATTTTTTGGCTTAAGCCTGTCAAATTCTGTAGCTATTTGGCACCATCCTCATAATGGTCTGAATGTATAGGTCCACTGTATGTGGTGCTTATCCTCACATTGAAACAGGGACTTACTCTCAAAACAAGAAACAACTTGACTAAACCCTTGCCCAGTAGTTGGGCAATTACCCAAATGAGTAAGTGGGACTAACAACTAAAAGACTGAATCTTCAAATATTTTTGTACAATATCTTACTACATGAGAGAGGCGGAACAAGATTCTTGTAGCCGACCCTAAGTAATTGGGATAAGGCTCGGATGACGATGATCTTATGACGTGAGAGAATTCATAAGACTTTTTTTCTTTTTTACAAAACGAATTCATAAGACATTCAATTATTATTTAAAACTATACACATTAAAACATTTCTTATGTTTGATTTTATGGCAATGACTTGATCAGGTTATAGATGATGGAATGCATTTATTTTGATCATTAATCTGGCATTTTAGCAGCTATTGTTTTATTTTTTTCCATTTTAGAGATGCTATCATTTTGTAGGATTTATCTATTAAACAGGTGATGTTTTATAATAACAGTTGAAAAAACAAACAAATGATTAATGCCTTCTATGTATAAAGAATGGTGATTTTTTTTATTTTTTATTTCTTTATTATTATTTTTTTTGTACTTTTAGCTAGCAATAAAATTGTGCATCTAGAGTTAATGTTCACTAAATATCGGATGAAGAATTTATATCATCATCATCATCATCATTCGGGCCTTATCCCAATTATTTGGGGTTGGCTATGCGAATCATATTTTGTCATTCCTCTCTATCAATGGTCGTATCCTAAGTCCAACCGTAAGTCACCATATTTCTTCTCATTACTTTCATCCATGTCCTTTTTGGCAAGCGATATTTAGTGAACATTAACTCTAGATGCATAATTTTATTGTGGTGTTGTTCTAGGTTGATGCTGCACATGGCCAAGGTACTTAAGCCACTTCCCTCATCTTATCACCTATTGTAGCCACCCCTAAGTTCTCTCAAATATATTCATTCCGAATTTTATCCTTTCTTGTCTTGCAATTTATCTATTTCAACATCCCCATCTCAACCAAACTCATTCTATTAATATGTTGTTTCTTAACGGCGTAACATTTTGTTCCATAAAACATGGCTGGTCTTATGGCCATCCTATAAAACTTCTCCTTCAGTTTCATTGGTATGCAGCGATCACATAAAACTCAAGAAGCACCCCACCCAGCTTTAATTCTATGTACAACATCTTCCTCAATCTCTCTGTCCTCATGGATTATCGACCCCAAATTTCAAAAATAATTTATTTTAGGTACTTCTTGGCCATCAATCTGAACTACTACGTTGTTTCTACTCCTATTATTACTAAACCTGCATTCTGTATAATTTTTCTTAGTCCGGCTTATTTTAAAACATTTAAACTCCAGAGAGTCCCTCCAAAAGTTCAAACTTTACGTTGACGCTGTCTCTAGTCTCATCAATCAAAACTATATCACTTGTGAATATCATATATTACGTTACCTCATCCTGTAGATGCCTAGTTAACTCAACCATAACCAAAATAAAGAGATATGGGCTCAACACTAACCCTTGATGTAGGCCTACTGTCACTAAAAACTTGCTTGTCTCTCTAGTAGTTGTCCTCATTTTAGTTAGCGCTCCTTCGTACATATCTCTCACCATGTCGATATATCTTCTAGAAACTCCTTTCTTTTTCTACACCCTCCAAATTAATTCCCTAGGTATATAATTGTATGTTTTCTCTAAACCAATAAAGACCATGCAGAGGTTTTTTGCTCTTCTCCCTAAACTTCTCAATCGTTTGGTTAAGTAAGAAAATATGCTCAATTATTGACTTTCTTGGCATAAAACTGAATTGATTTTCTAATACACTTGTTTCATGTCTTAGTCGTTGCTCAATCACTCTCTCTCATAGCTTCATATTATGATTCATAAGAAGTTAATTATGATCTTTATTGTCATAGGGGCTAAGTTTTCCCTTAGCCAAGCACTACAATGCCAAGCTATAGTTGACCCCAAACTAAGGCAAGCTAGCCTTCCACAAGTACACTCAAGAGGAATAGAATAAACAGGCACTAAAGGCAAGTTCAAGTTATCAAGAAGGGTTGTAGTCTGCTCGTATTTCACTCTATACGTTGTTCGTATAAGCCATGAATGCCCTTTAAGGATCCGGGCCAGGGGTTAATATAGCCTTGATATGCACCCACATACGCTTACCCTTCAATAAAAGGCCTTTAAGGCCTGTACGACCATTACTACCCACCACCTGGTGTGGCAGTTATAGCAGCCCATGCCCTACCATCAATTGGTTGTTCATGCCCACCCAAGCCCATCTACATATGCACTCATCCTATCTCACATGAGTTATGGTCATTTCACAACCCATATTTGGGGCGATTACAAATTTTGAATTCAAATTCCACACATTTGTTTTGGTTAACTGAAGTAGGGAAATTTGAGGAAGCAGTAAAATCAGCAAGAAACAAAGTCAAACACAAACACAACTCAAAATAACCTAGGGTTTCTTCTCCATACCTAAGCTAGGGTTCCAGAAGTCTAAGCTTTTTTTTTTTTCAATGTAAAAATCATGTGGAATGACCCTCTCAAGGCCCCACACACCCCTTACATATTATAATTCAATATTTCAAGTACAAAAAGTGTCGAAATAGATAATACATTGACCCATATATCCTTACATAACTTAAAATTCGTAATGACACTTTTTTCCCTATGAACAGTACTCATGAACAGTAATTATGAATAGTACTCATGAAGTAAATAAAAAAATAAAAACCCTAGAATCTATAAAAAACTAAAAAAACTTTAGAAATAAACGCTAAAATTAAAACTATAATATACATCCCTTCAAATTGAATAAAAATAAAAAATAAGAATAATTTTGGCCTCCATCATTAACACACTTGCCTTGGTGGGTGTGTGGTTTAGCTACACCTCTTGCAAATGGACCTTGCCCATGGTCTCATCAAGTCATGCTGCCCATGGTTCGACTATCCAATCCTCAGCCTCTTGGTCTCCGTGGTCCATGCCCCTTGTCCAAGGCCTTGCATCGAGGTCCTTTGCTGCTAATTCACATGTGCAAGCGCATCGGGGCACTGCACTACACCAGCCTCGCTTCCTGCCCAAGGTCAATTAAGGCAGAATGTACTCACCTTATATAGGTTTCTTGGTCTAAGGAACTGGTCCACCAAGAGAGATAACTAACCTGCCTAAAGTTGCACTTGTCTGTATTAAAATCTAAACGCTCAATTGCTAAGGTGGTTCCCTTTGCCCCACTTAAGCCACATGGATGGCACTAAGGAAAGGCACCTAACACATGCCATTTATATCTTGATTTGTATTTCCATTTGGAATGACTAAATATGCTCATTTGGAACAACTACATTTTAATGGTTCCTTTCATTAATGGATGTGACATTAATTTAATATATTTATATATGATATTAAAATTTGCATTATAAGCTGAGTGAAATATTAACAGTTTCAAAAAAAAAAAAAAAGCTGAGTGAAATATTATAAGTTGTACTGGTTTGATGGTGCAGGTGCAACAAATAAGCCACAAGAAATCGATGATGCAGTTCTTCGGAGATTGGTCAGTATTTAATATAACACTTGAGTTGCACCTGTTATAGCTGGTCTGGTGTCTACACATAAATTGCATTGAGTTAAGATGGTTATATGTCATGTATGGAGATTTTAAGATTGTATCAGTGAGGTGAGGTATTAATGTTATTGATCTCAAGTAACCTAGAGAAGTACTGAACCATGCAATGTTTGGGAATGGTGTTTGTGATCTTTTTAATTCTTTTAGGGTCAGTTTGGATATGGTGTATGAGTCCTATTGGGTATGGGGCAAAATAGTGTTTTAAAGTTTCACCCTCATCCCTGTTAAGTTCCAAAAAAGCGAGGCTGAGTTACTCTTAACTATCGGTCCTGCACCAAATGCTGAATAGAGTAACCCCGCTTATAAAATATCTGCATCGAAAGCTTGCATACAATACAAACAGCCTGTAATTTATTGATAAATTAAGGTGCTAGACACACTGCCTAAACTTGAGAAACTACATAAACTCTTGTCTTCTTCCATGGCCATGGTGAATTATTTATAGGATGTGTAGCATGTTATTTTGTATGGGGTTTTTTAATCTAGTATGCGATGTTTCCTTTACTGTCATTATTTTATTTGTTGGCAGTGTCTTTGTCTTTTAACCTAGAGACCCTCATATGCATTCATTCAGATAATAGAAAAACCGTATGGATTTCTTTCAATCGTGCACTTCTTTAGGAGCAATTGAAATTCAAAAGTAAATATAAAAAAAGAAATTTGACATTTGTTTATCAAATGAATCATACTTAATGATGTTTTTCGAGAAGACTTCCATTAATGTGTTACTTATCTGATAAAAAAATCTGAATTAAATTTCGAACTAGGTGAAGAGAATATATGTACCTCTCCCAGATGCAAGTGTTCGGCGTCTTCTCTTCAAGCATCAACTTAAGGGTCAATCTTTCTCATTACCTGGTAGGTGTTTTGTAATCTATAGTTTTGCATTTGATAGAATGATGCAAAGGAAAAGATTATGCAGTTATATTTGTTTCTTTTCGAAATACTGCAATGATTTTTGTGCCTGAAAAGAAAGTTATTGATATGGTCTTTTAGACTTCTTTCAATTGACTGTTCAAGTAACATATTCCAATTTAACACTGGGTTTCATGTTCAGATGATGATTTGGAAAAACTAGTGATGGAGACAGATGGTAAGCTAATTTCTTTTGTAATATTATATATATATATATATATATATATATGGGTGCAGTTTGCATACGGATGCATCTGTAGGCGTAGAGATAAGGTGCACCTTCAAATTTTATCATGGTATATAATTTTGATGTAAAATGTT